CCTCAGAAGGATGGAAGGCTGAGTCAACCTTGAGCCGGTGAGATTTGAACCGCTAAACTGCAGATATCAGTCAGCTGAAGTAGCCTGCAGTGCTGCACTCTAACCACTGCGCCACCTCGGCTCTGATCCCCTAATGCGCATTTGCAAGAGGTTATTCGACGGCGGCCACCAGCTTTGTGTCCCCCCTTCCTCCCCGCGAACCCCTCCCCCCATAAACGAACAATGAGATGAGTTATCCGACAAATGTGAATTCCCCTTTCGACATCCTAAACTTGGCGTTCTGTCCTGGGCATGGCGCTAGTCCTCAGTAAGCCCTGGGGAATATTTTTTTCCCTCATCTGCCGACCACCGATGTGGAGACAAGGCAGCCGGTTTGGCGTAGTGCTACAGGTGCTGGCTTGCAAACCAGGAGACTGGGAGTTCTAGTTCCGCCTTAGGCATGAAAGCCGGCTGGGTGATTTTGGGCCTATCACCAGGAGACTGGGAATTCTAGTCCTGCGTTGGGCATGAAAGCCAGCTGGGTGACTTTGGGCCGATCACCAGGAGACTGGGAGTTCTAGTTTTGTGTTGGGCATGAAAGCCAGCTGGGTGACTTTGAACCAATCACCAGGAGACAGGGAGTTCTAGTCCTGCCTTAGACATGAAAGCCAGCTGGGTGACCTTGGGCCAGTCCCTCCCTCTCAGCGCAACAACCTCACAGGGTTGTCGTCGCGGGGAAGAGGAGGAGGAGGGGGGGGGGTGCATTAGCCGTGTCCACCACCTTGACTTCTTTGCATAAATAATAAAGGCAGGAGAAAACTGAAAATATACATCAACCTCTGGAGTCCCACTCACACTGGATTGAAGGACAGGTGTCAGCCCGCACGTCAAGATGCCTTTCCCCGCGTATTCATCCTGAAGCAGCTCCACTGCCTTGGACCCGACCCCCGAGAAGCCGTTGTGGAGGTCGAAGAGCAGCTGAAAGCCCTGGAAGAAGAGGAAGAGGAGGAGGAGGAGAAAAATGGGGGTGGGGGGTTTGACGGTGATTTTTGTGGACTTCCTGGAGAGCTTTTCCAAATGGGGCAGATTGAGAAAAGGTGGCAAATATGGACCAAAGAAATATGGGTTCAGCACCAGGCGGCCTGGAAAGCAGGAGAAAGACCTGGGGTAGGTCTTCGAAAGGTTGCTGAACTACAATTCCCAGCGTGCCAAGCTGGTAGTGCCTGGTGAGAACTGGGCTTTAGAAACCCCCAGGAAAGTCCCAAGGTTTCTCCCGGCGCCTTGTAGCGGGGGGGGGGTCTCCAAACTTGACAACTTTAAGACTTGTGGACTTCCAACTCCCAAAATTCCCCCAACTGGCCATGTCAGTAAGGCAGGACTACAACTCCCAGTCTCCTGGTGATGGGCTCAAAGTCACCCAGCCGGCTTTCATGTCTAAGGCAGGACTAGAACTCCCTGTCTCCTGGTGATGGGCTCAAAGTCACCCAGCCGGCTTTCATGTCTAAGGCAGGACTAGAACTCCCCGTCTCCTGGTGATGGGCCCAAAGTCACCCAGACGGCTTTCATGCCCAACGCAGGACTAGAACTCCCAGTCTCCTGGTGATGGGCTCAAAGTCACCAAGCCGGTTTTCATGCCTAAGGCAGGACTAGAACTCCCAATCTCCTGGTGATGGGCTCAAAGTCACCCAGCCGGCT